TCAGCAGGATTCAGACAGCATTCTTCATTCTGTCGCCTGTGTGGAGATCTCATGTAAGTGAAAGGGATTAAACATTAACATGAATGTTTTCATTTAAAACTTCATCTGGCTTCCCACAACGCTTAGCATATTTATTCTGCAGTAATGCTGTTCAGCTTCAGAAATGTCCCATTTCACAATAATGAAAGAAAACTTGAGCTTCTCCAAATTCTATTGCCACGTTTTCTGAGACAGCCTTTAAAGGACTGAAATCAGACTTTCAAGTCTGTAGAGTACATTGCTGATGATTATAAATAGTATTGCTTTACCTCGGAGGCTTTAACCTCTGCACTGCTAACGGAGCATGCTGGGGAAAGGAGCCCTCTCCTCCTCCTCCTCCTCCTCCTCCTCCTCCCCCCCCAGTTCTTAACTGTTTGCTTGCTGAAACTTTCCAATTTCCAGCAAATAAGTACAGCAAAGAATTGCCTCTGGTCATTTCTAGCTGGAAGACTGAAAGATAATAAATGAAATATCTCCTTCCGAAACTGAATGTTTACTGTGTTACTGCTTTTTGAAAGGTTCTTGGGGTTTTTCATAAGTGAAAAGTTTGCAGCTTAAATTTACTGGAATTAGGAAGCTTTGGGGTTCTGGAAATGAGTGAGAAGGCTGGTGTATTTTGGTCACATTCAGATAAAAATAGCATCCTGGTCAGAAATAAATAGCGAGAAAACCTCAAAGAAAATTAAGGCACAGCTGCAGTTATGGCAGATAATATTATCATTGAATTTAAGGGGAGCTCTCTAAATAGAGATTTCTGCTTGGACAGTATCGTTAGAGTAGGTGCTACAACTTCTGAGTGAAATTTCCCATTCTGTGAACTAGTATGCAGAAGACTGTTCCCTCTTCCCAAGTTACCATTTACTCTGACCCATTAGGGTGGCATAAGCAAGAATTGTGCTCATCAAATCTTACACTATGAACTTCGGATGAAGAGTATCTGAAACTGTGGTTTTAGTTAAAGATTACTATATGTTGTAACAGTTAACACATGACCTTGTGTGGCTGGTAAATGAAGGGTGATATGGTCCTTTTTTGAATAGGGTGTGTGTTCAGTCCCCTGTCTAAATACTATCCTGTTCAAAGAGGGACAGCCAAGTTGTGGGCATGCATGTTCCATAATCTGGTGGGAGCGGTTTTGGAAAAGTATTCATGCCTTTATGCATTTTCTAGTAACAGTCAAATTTAGCAGGACTGCAGGAGTTAACTTACTGTTTATAATTTGGGAAAGAGGTTTCAGGAGTCTCATAAGACATTAAACTGCAACATTGCAAACAATTAGGTATTAAAATGTATTTGCTCATTGTTTATTTTAGTGATTTAAGACTGGAGTAGTCATGGATTAAATGCTGTACAAAAAAAAAAAAACACTGTCAAAAGCAGTTAACAGAAAAAACATGGTACAACCATTGTCTTATGTAACTGAAACTTAAGAAATGGTAAACTTTAGAATTTAGGAAATCATCTTAAAATAAGATTTCATTTTTATTTTAAAAATTGTGCATTTTATTCTATAAGAACGATAAGCTATCCTACTACATTAAAATGCTTGAAATTTAAAAGATCTTCATTGCTATTTATTTCTTTAAAGTTTAAAATTACATTTATGCCTAAGCTAATGTCTTTTAGAGCTCATAATACCTTTATTGTTCTGAAGATTTTAAATCTTTGCATTGTCTTTGGTTTTGATTGTTTGTGAAGTGGTTTTGTGTGTGTATGTATATACACATGGGATTTGTAGGGTGCATAAATGTGAGCGTCAGACTCTGAAGACTTTTTGATGGTATCTCTGCACCCTTTAAATAATTCCTTGATGCAAGCATGTTAAGCTATTTAAACATAAACAGTTTTGAACACAATTTTATAACTGGACCCCAAAGGGGCTTTTAGACAAAAATCAAGCTGCTTGTCCAGCATCTCCTTCAGTTAACATCCCACTCTTCTTCAGTTACAGACAGAGTCTTGCATTCAGATCTGCAAGGTGCTGTCCAAATGCTTTTGTCTATTTCAGAACAGCTTTCAAATTCTATCTCCTTTAGGACTCCCTTCTATTCACGGTACTGCAAAACCATCAAGGAACTACAGGACGTACTTGCATATGTATTTGAAGTCTCAATCTGAACAAAGGAGCCCCTGTGATAACCATAAAAAAAAAAAAAAAAATCTGCCCCAAAAGACCTTAATCTGAAGGAACAATCTTTCTGAATTTGCAAAACCAAATCTTTCTGCTTTTCTCAACATTTCAAAACGTTGAGATTAAAATCTTCCCTTTTTTGCATGACGGGATAGTGGGCTTTTTAAAAAATCAGAATTAAAGCTTTGCATCCAGCAGTACCTACGATTAAAAAATGTTTGATGCAGATGTATGATGCAACAACAAATTGTACCTACTGGAGTCAGTGAAAGCCAGGAAGGTGGAGTTGGTTCTCTGCCTGTAACGTGCTGTAGTGAAAGTACATTTAGAAGGGTTTGGTCTCTGTTACATAATCTGGTTATTGTCATGGGGAAAAAAAAAATCATCTGTTTCAGTGAATGGAAAGAGGATACTGTCTTTATTTCCCCATTTCTTGTAAATACTTTTCATTTTAGAGTTGTTCCACCTGTGTTTCCCAGCTGGGAACCTGGATTTACTTGCTTTTGCAAGATGCAATATTTATTGAAATTAGGGTCCTTTGACACTTGTACTTGGAGGAAATTTCCACTTACTTTTGTGTGCTTAACAGAAATTACTTTGTAAATGACTGCCTTGGAGGAGAGTGCCAGTCTTTCATGCTGTATTTGGAATACAGCACAGTAGAAATGAATGTGTAGGGCTTCTTTAGAATCAAGACAGCTGCCAGTTGTTCCTGCTTCACTGTGAAGACTTCATTGTCTGTCTTGATTTTGTAGAGTTCTTACTTGGAAGTGTCTGAGATTATACCAAGCTTGTATTTCTAACACTACCACATTGAGCAGCAATGGAAAAAATTGGGCTACTCACCCATTTCTTGTGTATGACTTATTATTCTCTCTGACTTAATAAGCATCTCCATAACCCTTGCTTTTGCTTCATATCTCTCTGACCATTTGTGTTCAGATTCATTTTTTAAACTGCATTTATCAGCTGAGTAGACTAGTCAAAGTACTGTCCATATGTCCTTTCATTTAATTCCTACTGCAAATACATGAGTAACCTTTATAACCGTTTATAAAACAGAATAGTAATGACAGAGGCAGGATTATAAACCAATCTTGAAGATTAACAAAAAGCTTCTGAATTTAACGAAATAACAAATAAACAAGCAGAAAAAAAAAAAAAAGAACTTGAGAAAAATACAGTCAATGTGCTGGCTTCACCAAATGATTGAAAAATCTGTGCAGTGAAACATCTGTGTCTGCAGCCAGCAAACAAATGTGGGATTACGTGAAGCACATTACATGCATTACCTGGATTAATTTATAAATGTACTTTGAAACTTGGAAGTGTTTAATACATCAGATGAAGGACAATGAGATGGCAAGGCTGGGTAAATGAATAATGCTGCTCTTACAATGCCTTTTTATGCCCATAGTAGTTTAAAAAATAAGTTATTATTTCTTTAAAACAGACATTCAAGCAAAATGGGTGTTCCTCTCTAGCTGTTCAGGAGAAAAGTTCCCTGGTGCTGTCTGTTCTACGTGTAGAGGAATAACACCTTTGATGCTGTTCCTAGTCAGTGTAAAGGAACTCTTCCTATCAGTTGTTGTTTCTTGTTTTTACTATGTTGAAAGACAAATTCTAGAGCAGAATGGCATCATGATTAGATCTTAATCAAATGCATTCATAAATAAAAAAATCAGAAAGTACCTTAGTGGTTTGGGTTTTAGCTGTGGGGTTCAGAAAATTGAGTAGATGGGTTCTAGTTTTGGCTACTCAGTTTAATCTAGTTACTGTACATTTAGTGCCAATAAAATGAGGAACCTGTTGAGAGAAAATATAGAATAGGACCTTTTTTTTAAAGAAAAAAAACAGCTAGTTATTAGTGTTGTTTATAAAGGACTGATGTTGAAATAAATGCACAATTTCCATAACCCTATTGCATGGAATAGGGCTTTGAAGAAGAGCAAAATATTTTGATATTTCTGAAATTCTTTTAGTATTTGCTGTGCAGATTGATATGTGATCTGCTTTTAAGTGTGCTTACCAAAGTTCACAATTCAGTAGTATGATGAGTATTCTTTTCATGAAAGATGCTGTCAGTCAGGATTATTTTGCTCACTGGTAAAAATGACTGAGACTTTACACTTGAGAATTTCGATGAGAAGATGTGTTGGACGGTATTAGAAGGAACTATTGGAAAAGACAGAGCAGGAACGGGAAGGACTGGAGAGCTCTCTTGGAGAGCTTAGACACAGTGTTAATTCCAACAAAGGGTCAGCAGCATAGAAATCTTGAAAAAAATCCTAACTTGATCTCTTTTTTTTTTTTTTTCTTAAAGTGCGGTGTTCCCTTCCAAGAGGAAGATGTGATTGTCCTGAATGGTAATAAAGATGATGTGGAAGTATTGAAGAAAAGAATGGAGGACAGAAGACTTAAAAGTAAACTAGAAAAGGTAATCTTTTTATATACTGTGTAAAACAAAATTGGAAGAATTCTCGTCTGTAATGCAGTCTGCTCTTAGATCACATAGCCTTGTCTGCTACTCTTTATGCAGACTGGAGGATTTACTGAGGAAACTGTGTTCTACCCAAGTGCAGCTGTTGAAAGTAATGAGGTTGTGTGCATATTTTGCTAATAGCATATTGAAGTTTTTTGTACTGACACCTTTTTTGAGTAGCAGACAGAGCACAGGGCTCTGAAAAACCAGAGAATTTGATGCTATGGGTAAAATGGACAGTGTGCCAGCTTTATTGTAGGTTCTTCTCAAAACAAAGAGCTTGTGTTAGTTAATTCTAGTAACGAGCAAAATCTTACCTGTATTTCATATGGTAGTTCCTTGATCTCCAAGTACCCTCCACTGTCAGCAACATGATACTGGGATCTGTAGGTTCCTGCCTCGTAAGACCACTGTTTGGAACTTTTGTCATGCTTTGTGGCTCTTACAGTGCTGAGTGGTTACTGTCAATGCCACCTCCCACCATACTGTTGAGGTTGTCGCATTTTTTTTTTGGTGGTTGTTGTGGTTTTTTTTTTCACCTGACCAGGCAAAATGCCATAGAAATAGTCATCGTAGCTCTACTGTGTAATCCACTATATAATATTACTCTGTGAAGTAGTAACTACTGAAGTAGTATTGCACTGTCAAATGACAACAGTTCTGCACATGGGATTTTTTTCAACGTTCCTGGTTTTTTTTCTGAGCTGGCATGGCTATTCTGGAGATTGACAAAGCAAGCAAAAACTTTAGTGTTGACTCAGTTCAAAGTACAGACAGATTTAGTGGAATCTCGAGGGCATGAATCATTGTCTGACACTTCCAGCAACTGAGACTTTAGATTGAGGTTGATCGTCTCACCCCTATTCCTGCACTTAATTTTGTCTGCCTGTAGGACTAGATTGCAGGCAAAAGTTTTCCTAGATTGTTTTGAGACAAATACTTGTTTACTTAACAGTGAGCATATGATCCCTTCTCATCATAGGATCTGTCTTCATCTGTGCCAGTAACAGCATCTCTGGGCATGGGCAATATGACAAAGTGATGGTGACCCAGGGAAATTCTGCTGTTCTGTTTCCTCTCTGCTCATAGCCTCTGCACTTAGTGTCCTAAAGCTTCTGGCATAAGAGCAGTACTGTAAATATTATGCTGTCTCTTCAGATGTTTGGGGTTTTTCTTCAGTACTTGGCATGTTTGAAAAAATTTGAAGATAATTTGATGATAGACTATTGCAGATCTCAGTAGATGAGTTTCATCAGCCCCCACAATACTTATCGTTTGCACTCGATTTTCATTAGAAAGGTGGCCCTAACAAAGCACCTATAGCTTTGATTCAAATAATTTGGAGTAGTCCAGAAGTAGTGCTATCCTCAACTTCTGCACAACAGAGAAGGACCACCTAAATGTGCTGAGGACTTCTGTTTCTTACACTGTCAGCACAGTCACTCTGGTGACTGGAGGAAATCATGCTTTGGGCTCTGTATGCTTTAGGTGAATATGCAAATTTTGTTTGTTTCGTGGAGACTTGCATTACAGGCAGGTACAGTATTTGCAAATCTCACAGCAGGCTTTTTGCATTTCATCCTGAAGGTCTGATGGTTTTGTGCAGTACTGCCTTGCTGCACCAGGGGATCATTTTGCAGCTAGAACCAGTCTCCTCTGCTGTCACTGGCACTGTTTGTAACTAGGGCTCTGTTGGTGCGGCTGTTCAGTTCTTGGCCTCAGTTCCTTCTTTCAGCTAGGGGAGCAGCCTAAGTGAACCCACTGTATTTGAAGCAGGAGCCACATTTTCTTTGTACCAATGAGACAAAGCTTAAGGAAGACACAGATAGCACAAGGATAAAAATTTAGTCAAGCTCAACTGTGCCGTATGTACCCGTGACGATATATGTATAATATAGAGCCATTAGGTATATATAATACATATGCATACATATATTTACAGAGATATCATAATTCAGATGCCAGATACTGGAAGGTAACTTTTCTTTTTAAGTCTGCCCATGATAACAAAGGTGGAAGGGCCCTGGAAAGCACTTTTTCATTTTCGCTGAAGGACACCAGGAGAGCCACCAGCTCCTGCGGTGGGGCATGGGGCAGGGAAAGAAAGCAGCACACGCAGCGGGTTCGGGGAACGGGAATTTATTCGTTGTCGCCTCTGCTGTCCTCTCGGCGGCGCGGCGTCTTGCGGGGCCGGGGCGAGTCCTGGGGGCCGGGGGCCCTCCTCTT